TTTTCAATGTTACCAATTTTACTCCAAATGTTTATTCACACAGTCGTATCTCTTACTTGGAACAGAACAGACCCATCAAGAGGCAACCTGATCCCAGTTGCTATTACGCAACTGCTGGAATCTTGAAAGTTGGCAACATTGTTTTCCCTCCATTTAAATGTATGCAAAACAATCGATTCTTAGTAAGGCAGCTTTCCTCGCCTAAAATCGATATTTTCAATGGATTTATACGGAGGGAAACCAATGTTACCATCTTTCAAAATCACCATTGGTAGGCATCCCTTGCTGCGAAATCTGCGACATCTACCCGCGAAATTGGAACGGATAACGCCACACACTTGCCGATGCCGCCATTTAATTCTGAAAAAGTGGTGATATAGTTCGATTGAATTGACTCACCATCACATCGATAAAGATCGTCGAGCTTTTTGACATCGCCCTCACTCAGATGTCTGTACCTTCTAATCGACTCACCGGATTTCATTTTAACCGTCTTCCAAAAGCCGAAAAAGTCCTAAAAGAAAAAACAATTATCATTGTATTCGTAGCTGGAAATGTATGTGTTTATGTGAATTAATTAAAAATACAACACCACTGAGACATGTTATTGGAAAATATTATGCTTGATTCTGGATAAAGGAATTTTAAACAATTATCGCAGATGACATGATGCATAAAAATATGGTGCAACTCTTTAGCAACTCAACTCAAACAACTCTATTTTGGAACTAGGGGGCTCTTCCCCTTGGCCGCTACGCTGCCTAACCCTCGTTCCAGCGAAATCGTCGAAATCGCCCGTTGGCGGTTAATGAGCAAGTAACTTTAATTGAATAACAAAACGATGTTTCGAAGAACAATTTCCCACCAAACAATATTCTTGTCATTGTTACTCTGAGTGCATGGATCCGGCGCGAATTTCGCGCTCTGGCGGGAGTGAGAATCTGACAGGCAAACGTAACACGGAACTGCCGCAGCATGGACTTGAACTCGAGTCACGGTGGTGATAGACGAGTGCGCTACCGCTTTGCCATTCGGCGCTCGTACCAGGAGGCCCTGAATTCACGCTACTTGAGGTACCTCAACTAATTCGTTCGTCGTTTCTGATATTTACGCTCTGATCTATTCACTAAGAGTACGGCGCGAAATTCGCGCCAGTTTTTTTTTTTTTTTTTCACGCCGGCCATTCATTCAGAATAAATCATTGATTTTTAACAGTGAAGTATTTATTCTCATCTGAGATTTTCATTTATCATGTTTGACCCATGCAGCTTATCTAAGATTGCAGCTAAAAACTCTTATCAATATTTTGTATCAGTGCTTTACTGTTATTTTCTATGGATGGCTACAAATGACTTTAACCGAATAGCAAAAAATCTCCTTACCCTTGAGTCGGGACTATACGACATTATTGACTTCCGATCAAAGGGCACTCCTAGCAGATTTACTTCATCATAATCCAATTTTTTAAAAATACGTTCACCCTGTAACATCATAATTATATCACTTAGCATTATTGAAAAATACAACAACATCCTAAACCATGTGGCCAATGGCCATCTTGTGGCGTATATCTGTTGAAAAATAAAAGAAAAATACATGCACGTATATACTAGGTATTGTATTTAAACAATGGCTGCATATCACTCGAGCCTTTTCCCATTATTATTGTTAACGGGAAATATTGGTTCATTTAGTGACGTGTATGCCAATGCTAGTGCACTACTCTTTCCTTACAAACGGGATATGAAATGTACGAGTATTCGGTCTCGTATAAACACTTGTCTAAATTGCTCATGAGAAAAAACGATGACGACAAATTAAAAATATATGCTTTTTAAGAATACTTCATGCCAAATATAACTAAAAAACCAGTCGGTGAAGCACAACATAGTAGCGTGCAGGAACGCGTCTGTGAAAAAAAAGGAATTGGAAATCATAGGCATGTTCAATTTATTTTGAACGGTATAAGAATGTAAAGAACATTAGCGCGTTTTTGGTGCTTCTCGAAAGATGAGAGAAGGAAAAGATAAAGAATAATAGTGGTATTAGTAATTTCAAATAAATAGGACTAAGGAGTCCAATTTTATAGAAAGGAGGGGAACCGATAGTAAAATATGAAAAAAATGACTGGTAATTTTCAGCAGACAGTCACTTGGAAGAAAACATGGAGACAGACGTATTTGGACCAAAATGACCTTTGAAATAAGAACGGGTTCGAGAATGACAAGCTTCATACTATGTACTCAGGTTGTAGAGGCTAGTGTAGTAAACTGTGGATTAAAGTAAACAATTTCAGAACTTAACTACATTTCACGAAGATCGAGGAATTACTATTTTGGACTCATCCATAAAAGCACACATCTGCATAAAGGAGCTAATGGCAAATATTTTATTTTTGAAATGAACCAGAATTAGCAGTTCTCTTTGCTGCAAGATATATTCAAAAATATTCGCGATCGTCGTGCTATCAAGATTCGGTAAAGTTCCTTGTTGAACGTACTACGTTATTGCACCAAGATAACGCCACGTTGGCAACGTCAATTAAAATGACTTAAACGACCAAAACCCAGATCTCGTGTATTCAGGTACTGACAACGCAAAAAAAGTGCACATACATTGATACCACGAATACAGAATTCTTCCCTGCAATATGGAGTAATAACCTATTTAATTTCAATTTTTAAAATCTCGGAGACTGTAACGCCGGGATAGGAAAGTAGGAAATTTTGATCCTGCAAGGTTTAATCTATGTAGAAACTTCAACTTTTTATTGAGACTTTCTATGGAGAGTTATAGATTCTTTCTGCTTCCTGCTTTGTCTTTGAGAAGAAATTTTCATGGGAAAAGTTGCGTTTGCCTGATGATCTATGGGAGAAAAGGGGGCAATGGTGATTGGGCGTCGCAGAGCACGAGGCTGTGCTGTGAAAGCGGCTTCATGCAGGTTTTGTGTTTTCCCCCTCTACAAATCCACGTGAGAGAAATTCAACGTCATAATTTCCCAAAGAGATCATTTTACGTGATTTTAATTATCTGACTCACCCAATTGTAACCTGGGATAAACCTGAAGTAATTAAGGAAGACATTCCTTTAATTACGACAGGCGAATTACTAAATGCCCTTAACCGACTTAAACCTAAAAAAGCGCCAGGTCCGGACCACATCGACCCAATAATTGTCAAAACTTTTGTCTCTTCCAATATTAATCATGTTACACAAATGTTTAATACTCTTCTAACCTCATCAGTATTTCCAGACAACTGGAAAATTGCAAGATTGGCGCTAATCGCAAAAAACTCCAATTCACCATCCGCTGATGTACGTTACAGACCGATTTGTATGCTCAACTGCTTCTCCAAACTCTTAGAATATATTTTATATGACCGTATGCTTACTTTTGTTAAAATTTCTGACAATCAATATGGGTTCCGCAGGGGAAGATCGACCCTGGATGCCCTCCGCGCCCTTAGGAAAATTTATGATGAAAACAGACTCCTCCCTTGGAGACACAGAAGAACCCTGTGCCTTATAGGGGTGGACGTCAAAAATGCTTTCAACAGCTTACGATGGCGAGATGTTATTGAGTGCCTAGTCAAACAATTTGCCCCCCCTTATATTTTAGCAATTATTCAAAATTACCTATCAGAGAGATATTTGGTATCTGATGGAACCCTAATCAAATTAACATCCGGAGCTGCCCAGGGCTCGATATTAGGACCCCTCTTATGGAATCTCATCTATGACGAAATTGTTAACCTTAATGTACAACCATCTAAGATCATTGCTTACGCTGATGATTTATTGTTCGTGATTTCGTGTTCACCAGATTACTTACAACTTGAAACAGATAGAGTTACTAGTTTAGTTAAGACAAAATTAGATGAAAGAGATCTTACCCTTGAGCCTACAAAGACAGAAGCCCTTCTGATCGAAGCTCCCAGGAGATTGAAGGATGTGGAGATTGTGGTTGACGACGTACCGGTTAGTGTTGGGATATCCCTCAGACACCTTGGATTCTATCTGGACAAGGGTCTGAGGATGTCCCAGCACATCCGGGCGGTTTGTTGTAAAGCAAAAAAGACCATAAATGCCCTTCGTTCTGTCGTTCCTAACTGCTTCGGCTCTCAATATAAACGTAGATTAATGATTTTTCAAGCAGTCTTCTCTGTAATCTTCTACGGGATCGCGGCCTGGGGAGACTCACCTGCCTTAACTCTGAAATACAATCTTAAAGAAATCACTAAAACTCTACGGCCCCTTAAAAGAGCACTGTGTATGGCCTATAGGACTGCGTCAGCTAACTGTCTCGATATCTTGACTGGTCTCCCTCCAACGGACCTACTTGTGAAAGAGAAGTTTAGGAGATCCTTGAAAACCGAGAATTTTGAGGAAATCCATGACGAAATCTTAAGTGAATGGTGTGACCGTTGGAGGGACAACCCGGGGGATTCCTGGTGCAAGCAACTGATACCGGACCCAGAATCATGGCTTAGGCGGAACTACGGATATCCTGACTTTTGGCTGACGCAACTCTTTACGGGGCATGGTGTTTTTGGTGCATACTTGTTTAGATTTAAGAAAACAGATTCAGAAAATTGTAAATTTTGTATCACTGAGCGAGACACGCCGGAACACACTTTCTTTTCATGCTCTAGATTTATCAACAAGAAACGCCTTTTAGATTTAGAACTTAACACTACTCTTACTCCATCAAACTTTCAAACTACTATTCTAAAACACCCCACAAACTGGAACTTAATAAAAAAATACACAAAAGACATCTTAACAACCAAATCTCCTCTCTATCAGAACCAACCTTCACTTAACCCCCAACCCCCACCCCCAGCCGAAGATATACCAGACGGTAATTCCGGCGTGTCTCGCGAAGTAAACTCTTGACCTTATTCTATGTATACTTATCATACTATCTTATCTTGTATCTTATTGACTATTCTTTACCTTACGTATCTCTCACTATCATACACATTAAGTTACGAATAGATTTAACCTTTAACCTATAATATTTACCGTCATAACAATTAGTAATAAGATACATACACTATAACTCTTGTAAACATATATGTATTTACTGAATAAATTTCGCTTGACAAAAAAAAAAAAAAAAAAAAAAAAAAAAAAAAAAAAAAAAAAAAAAAAAAAAAAAAAAAAAAAAAANAAAAAAAAAAAAAAAAAAAAAAAAATTATCTGACTCAGCAAAATTGAAGAATGCGGAAGATACACTTTATTATTTTAAAGAATTTTCAAAACCTGCAAAATTCAATTTTTCGGTATCGTCATTTTTTGATTGAGGCACATTATTACACTGGGGAAAAAAATACACATTGGACCTAGAGTCCATACTCTTAAAAACATCGAGAAGAAAAAATACTCTTAATTCAATCAGATTTAAGCTTAAATCAAGAACCAAGCCTCTTAATTTGAGCGGATTTCTTTTTGATTTAAGCTTAAATCTGATTGAATCAAGAGTCCTTCTTCTTGTCAACGTTTTCAAGAGTCTAGACTCTAGAACCAATGTGTTTTTTTCCCAGTGTATGATCTCTAGAATGAATATATTTCAGAAGTAATTCTGTTGCATATTTATAGAGATCCGTTGAAGTTTATGATAATTATATTGAGGATGTTAAACAAAACTGGGTTTTTACTTTACCTTCGGTCACTTTCAAAGATCGTCGGGCCGGCGATTTTCGTAAGGCAACAGCCAACAATTCCATCAATGAGCCTCTTTAAAACCTGCAGTTTCTGCATGTAGTCCAGGCAAATAAGCCATGAAAAGGGCTACAGCCTGCAAAAATCCCGGGTAGCAATGTTTTCATCGATTCCTACGTAATTTGTGACGCTGAATCCGAATTTCAACTTTGCACCATTAAATTCGGACCGGAAAGTTGCCAAATTTGGCAAAAATGGCCTAAAATCGGCCTTTTTTCTGGATTATGACCTGTAACTTGCTAAAAATTGATCTGACGATAAAATCAGTTATTTTCAGAAATAAAGCTCGTTAAATTTCCTGTAAAAAAGTTACTATACACTTTTTTGCTCAATGCAAAATCAAGCGCGCTGGCGGGCTCCGAACTTTGAAAAATGAGCAAAAATTGTGTTTTTCGCGGTTTTTGCCCGATGTCTCCTGTTTTAATCGTCCGACGAGTAATTTCTGGACAAATTAAGTGAAGATGATAAAATTTACACTTGGTGAAATGAATTGATGTAAATAATAAGGATAACCCAACACATTACAGTATGCGCAATTTTCGCACATTTTTCAAAGTTCGGAGCCCGCCAGCGCGCTTGATTTTGCCTTGAGCAAAAAAGTGTATAGGAACTTTTTTATAGGAAATTTAACGAGCTTTATTTCTGAAAATAACTAATTTTATCGTCTGATCAATTTTTGGCAAGTTACAGGCCATAATCCGGAAAAAAGTCCGATTTTAGGCCATTTTTGCCAAATTTGGCAACTTTCCGGTCCGAATTTAATGGCGCAAAGTTGAAATTCGGATTCAGCGTCACAAATTACATAGGAATCGATGAAAACATTGCTACCCGGGATTTTTGCAGGCTCTTTTCCTTGTTTGCCTGGACTAATGAGGCAGGCACGGAAGTGCATCGGTGGATCCTGCAAATTGGGAACATTGTTTTTCTTCATTTAAACCTATGGAAATGTATCGATTCTTCGAGGAGCCAGGTGCTCCGCCAAAAATCGATTGTTCAACATAGGTTTAAATGGAGAGAATCCGGTGTTGCCAAATTGCTGGTTCCGCCTCTGCAGGGGTGCCCTTCACGAAGGTGTGAAAGTGCAAATATCTTTTTCTTGATTCAAGTTTGATGCGATATGGTGCTTTTCTCTTGAATTTTTTTTACTTTTGGCGCGTATACGTAGTATATTGGCGCGTATACGTAGTATACCGCCTTTGCGATCGTTTCGACCCCCCCCCTCGATACAATAACCGAGTCCCCTAGTTCCTTACCGAAAAGTGACTACCGCGAACTTCTGAGATTTTCCAAAGCGTGTAAAAAGTTTACTAATCCGTCAATAATAATGATTAAAATTTGTTTCTCATTCTGGGGCTCGCTAGTTTATGTGTAATGAATACCAAGAGTCTACGTTTCTTGGTTTTTTTTAAAAAAACCTTAGAATGGGGCGCGCTGATTTAAAATATGCATATATAAGCGGAAGCAAGCGAACTGATTCGAGGATGGCTGACCAGTTCGGCACTCCTTGAATGAGAATTTCACTCACTCCGTTTTGTTCACAACGTTGCTTTGACATATCTCCACAACACTGTTATCCTTTTCAAAAGTTGGTACTCCTTGCTCTGATAGCCGGGGCCACCAGGATAGTGGTAAGTGCAATCTGTGATGAGCCTCGAGACTCATTAGACCATTTGCTAAACGTGGCTCATACAGGAGTCCACTAAGCCCTCTCGTCCCCACGCTCCTGATCACTGCGTCGGCGTCACGAAGAACAATGGGCCTTGGGTCCCAACGCGGCCGATACCCGTACCCCAATTACTCACGCTTCATTAACCATTTCACCGTCACGCTAGGATTCATCCAATTTTCAAAAAAAATTGTTTCGCATGTATTTAGCAATTTTTTCCTTACTCTCCGTTAAAACACAAATAAAAAGAGACCTCATTCATAAAAATCGGCCGAATAGAAGAGAAGTTACAGTAATCGAAATCCGAAGAAATCAACAAAACCTCGACTCCTCGATACGAAAAATAAAATGAAGGGGAAAAAAAGAAAGTATAAATTACAATTAAATATAATTGACCTCAAAATTTGACAAACAATTCATTTATATACCTAACGCTGAAAAAACTGGGAGAAATTACAAAAAATTTGCCTCTTGCAAGGGGCTTCTTTGTAAGAATTTTGACCTGAAGACAACGGTCGAATAACAGCAGTACTCCATACAATACACGGTGTGCCTGAACGAGTTAAACATTTTTCATACGTCCAAATCGAAAAATCTTTATATTTTTAACTACAATGTTTCTTGAATCGTTTAAGCAAAAAAAAAAAAAAAAAAAATTCCGTCGAGATTCTGGAACGCAAAGGCGCTTTAAAAGTATTCTGGGGCTATAATAGCTAAATCACCGGTAGTAAATTCGTTATATTATTAAAAAGAAATTGACTCCATAGTTTAATTCCTTAGTTTCTTGAATACGATTATTTTAAGCACTTAAACATTTATACCACCAATTTTAGCCATGGGGTGATTTCCTGAGAGCCGATAATATCACGAATTTCTCATAGAACCCCTCAACAGTGGCTTGCTTTTTTGGCAGCCGATTCGGCCATCGAACCGGAGTTTAAATGGAAGCTGATAATAACCCAAAGCTCTGAGAAAAATTTTGAGATGAGTATAAGAACGGTTTGTTGTAAGTAGCGAGGAGAGGCGGGCAAAGCGGCTAAAATCCTATCTAATTTTTACAGTTTTTCTGTTGAATTAATGTTGCCGCGGGCTTCTGACTGTCCACACATAGTTCTGTTCAGCATATCGATACATAAGTATTTACATTTTACATACGTAGAATCTAATTTTCACGTCGGGGAGTTGACATATTTTGATTTTTTCGATTTTATACGGAAAATTGATGGTTTTTCGGGATTGAAATTATTATTGTTTCATGAAAAATAAATGCACCCAAAATGACTATAGCATATTGATTCTTACACATTTGCACTCACAAAATTGGTTGGTAAATTCAACGAGTGGGTGCATCGACCTGGTATATCAAGTTTCTGCAATTTTTTACGGCAAATCAGTAGATTTTCGGGATGTAGATTGCTTACTTTCAATTCATGAATGAATAAAGCAACGACATGGTTGAACTTCTTTGCATGGAAAGACGTTTAAAATAACAAAATCAAGACGTATTTAATGCAATTGCATTTATATCGAGTCAATTTCTTTTCAATAATATAACGGGATTTTTACTACCGGTGATTTGGGTATTTTAGCCCCAAAATACCTTTAAATCGACTTTATCTTCTAGGAGTTCGACAGAATTTTTCCTTTCTTCGCTTAAATTATTCCGTAGCACTTTTCTTCAAGAATCTGATAAGATTTTGCTTGAGGCAGATCAAAAAACTTAAATTCGATCGAATAGCTTTCTACTTTCACAATACACGGTCTCGTCAAGGTGCGTCTTTGACCTCGCAGTGTTGGATCGTGAATTCTCTTTTTATGCTGTTTGCCTATTTTGAAATCTCTGTAAATGAAAACTAAAGGGGTTGATATGTGCGAGTTAGTGACGCGCCTTATCAACACATTGTGTTGGAGTTCACTGCTTGTTTTTTTACTACTTTAAGTAGCCCACAGGGGCTGCTCCTGCGCTTTAAGTCCCATCCCCCCTCCATCACTACTGAACCAGTCCCAGGCAACCATTGTTTGCGACCATCAAACCCGGGTCGCTTGGCCGGGAATCGAACCTGACCTCCCGATCATAGAGCTAGCGCCACAACCATTACACCATAGGAGTCCGATAACTTTGTCCATTTGAACGGCATGCTCTCCGGGTTAAAGTACAAAATTGAAAGTCCCAACAACGGAACTTAAAAAAAAAAAAAAAAAAATTCTTATTTTCATGGTAAGCGCACTTATTCTAAAAAAAACTCAACTTCAGATCTCAGTACCCTGTCTTACCTCTTTAACGGCCCAGTCTTTAACATTTATGTAGTTGTCTCTATCGGGCCGTTTGAACTCGTCTACTAGACTCAAGGTGTGCCCCAGTTCGTGTAAGATCTTTACATAGGTCCATTTATCGGGATGGATGGTGATGTGACTCTCTCCCTCTTTTCTGCCAACAGTTGCCATGCCTGCACTGAAAGAGAAATCAAACTTGCAAAACATGGGGCAACTGGACATTGTCCTAACATGTGAAAGGATTTGTTCAAGTAATAAAAAGTAAAGATTACCGTGCACCAGGGAAGGAGCCTCGGTGATTAAAGGATAAGGAATATTCGTAAAGGAAACGATTTCCGTCATGATAAGAGGACAAATCTGCCGTACCAAGGAAAAACGTCGTGCAACATTCTAGAGTTGCCAAATTTCCTTCAATAAAATATTAATTTTTGAGGAAAGTCATTAATATTTTTCCCTAAAATTTTCACACTATTTGGATCAAATTACGAACGAAAGCTTTCCTTGTTCCCGAGGATCTTAGTACCTACCACTGTTAAGCATAGTGTTTTGATGTTTAAATGGAGCAATACATTTATGAAGTTGAGATTAGTGTGGTCGAACGGGCCCCTTAACCTACGTCACGAGGTCATGTGACACGTACTGAGACTCATGGGAAATTTTCAACTTGTCCATACCTGTGTTAATCTACCTTGGGATTTCGCTATATATTCTTTTTACAAAAAAAGAAGAAGATAATATTTTATCTAATGTGTGATACCCCCGAATAAAGTTGCGGTAGTTGCGGTACATAGTAGATGGTGGCACATTTATATATGGTGGATATTCCTCAGCAGACTTGATGATTTAAAATAACGACTGCCAAAATAACAACGACAAAACATTACGTACTAAACTGAACGGTCCTCTTGAATGCGCACATAGTCTGGCTCTCCACTCCTTTCCTTGAACCGGATACAAGTTTTCTCCGTAAATTCGTTCATGGCTTGGATGATCTTCTTACACTTGCTAGATTTGGGGCATCCTAGAACGAGAAAAAAGTGAGCCTTCGTGTTTTATTTTGACGATTAGAATTGAATTAAATCGGTAATTAATGATGAAATAGCGAAATTTAATTCTGGATCCTGTCTTGCAAATTGCACTTTGTTCAAGTATTTCGTGAGGAATTTTTGCCAACTTTTTGACCCCCCCCCCCTGTTAGGCACCCGTGTGAAATCTTTGACCCCCCTTTTGAATTACGTACAATTGGCAATAATTACTTAAGATTTGAAATGGCAGGGTTTCACAGCGCATAACACCGATAAAGTTTTTTTTTTATTTTTTTGTTATTTTTTAAACAAAAAGCCTTTGTTTACGGCGGAAAGGTTACGTAAGACTCGGCTTGAACCCCTCTGCCCTCATCGTAAGGCTCAGTAAGACAAAGCCGGACCCCCCCCCCCCTAATTGTCTTACGTAAAAAATGTCGAAATATAAATATGTTTACGAAAATAAATGTCTGGAGATAATCATGACCAGACTTAAGATTGTCTATTATTAATTGCCGCTTTATTTCCATTCTTGTCGTCAAAATTAAAAATGTTGTTAGCCGTAAAAAAACAGCCACCTGGTAACAAGCCTCACAAAAATCGATCGAACGGGAGTCGCATATCGCAAGATCACCGGGACTGTAAACAGTGGTGAACGGCACCAGTCAATTTACGCACGCTGGTGCGCCTTCATTTTCGCCTGATACTGTGCAATGCTTCCGTGGCGGAATAGTTGCTCAGAGCGCCTTCGACAGTATCGCTTCTATTTGATTTGGCGCGTGAGTGGCTACACTTTTCTCTCATCACCTACAATGAGGTGCAAAGCGTGCATCCCTCAATTTGCGACGTTGCAAATTTTTGACTCCCTATTTAATGCGGGTAAACGAGTATGAATTTTTAAAACCCGCCGTGATTTTTCTAAGATATCACAACAAATATTATTTTAATGTTTCACTCAAGCCTACGTGTAAATAATCAGTTCTATGATCAGCTTGCTTTTGCGGCTATGATGTAAAAGTTATAAACTGTGATTATATTCGTCCGAAAAAGGAAAAATACATAAATACATGAATAAAACAATCAGCAGTTTCAACACAAAAAAGTTGAAGAGCACGGCAAGATCGAGGAGTATTCGCTAAGGGCGAGTAAATAGATTTTGAGACTGAAAAGGGAAAGAATATAGAAAACTCGTTTGCAAAGTTGAAGGCATCAAAATATTAGCCATTTCTGCCATTTACGATTTTTAAATTTCGGGAACTTGACTGAAAATTCGACTTTTACTCGCACCCATCACAAGAATCGATCGAATTTACATGAGCTGAGAATTTATTTTAAGCCACATCGACCATCTTGGATTTCGAAAATCTAAAACATTCAAGTCTGAATTTGGTTTCGTCCCTTCTTTGAAAAATAAGATACGAGAGATATTAGGCCGCATTTGAAGTAGCAAGACCGACTTTCGTTAAATGTGCTCTATCACAAGCAGACATACCAAATAATATTCATTGACATAATCGGTGCTGTCCTGGAAGGTATCTCATAAGATTCACACTCACCAATTCCATGATCTATTTTGTATATGACTGCAGCTTTCTTCCATAATTCCTCAGGATTTTTTAGCAGTCTCTTTTTCCTTGCCTATATAGGGGAAAAAAGTAAATTAATATTTGTGGAAACACATTCCAACATAACTTGCTTAAAGAGCTGATTTCACAGTATGTTTTATAGTTTTTTTCTGATATGGAAAATATATTGAAAATAGATTTGAAAGTGAGAAAATGCACCGCCGAGTGACGTCATCTGGCGGCATTTCCCATTTAAACACATGCATATTAGCAGATTAGATCATTTTGCCATATCTTCTACAATAATTGATCGATTCATGGACCAAGGGTATCCTTCTATTCAGTTCACTCAGTAGTTTCCACTTAAACACGAAATGGACCATACTAGACAAGGTACAAATTTCAGCATCCTCATTCATGTTTCTTCACCAAAATTTCACGTGAAGCACGACGCGCACAACGAAAATTACTGAAACCAACTCCTAACGGAGATATTAACATTTTTATTTCACATAGGTTACGAGGAATTTGAACTGCCCGCTCACAAGAAACTCAAAGCTCTACGTGAGTCAAACTACCGTGCACTGCAACGGTTTCAGCAAGCTCCTCAATCGAGCAATGTTCATTTTCCACCATGTGTTTTTCAAACTATAAGCAATTTGCTATAGCTGAGCCAAAGTGTCAACATTGAGGTTGCAAGATTTTTATATCGCATAGAGACTGTCATGATAACATTTAGCGCGCGATTTGAGTCACGTAGAGCATTGAGTTTTCAAGGCGGGAGGTTTGAATTCACGCATCAAGAATCATTAAATATCTTCGTAAGGAGTTGATTTCGGTAATTTTCGTTCTGCGCATCGTGTTTTACGTGAAATTTGGGTAAAGAAACAAGTATCAGAAGGCTTAAATTTGAACCTTGTCTAGTGGTCCGTTCAGAAAATTTCAGAAATCTGCAAATTCTCTATTGACTTATTTTAATATCGAACTCAATTTTTTTCAAATTTGGATTCACGGCATTTTTACGCCTGACGGCAGCACGGAAAAATGTGGTCAAATTCTCACCTGTGGACCTTTATCGCGGACGCTTGCGTATTCATCCTCAACTTCAGGGGGATCAGGTTTCTGTTTGCCCTCGCTGACTTTGGTCAAACAAATAAGTAGAAGAACCAGAAAGCCGAACAATATCAAACGGAACTGTGCAGCCATCACACCATCCGTGTTACCCAAACCGGACGTAACTGCACACTGACTTTTTCCGGTTGTAATACTTCAAGGGTTACCTCTGACGTACATTGGTTTTTTTAATCATGTACATTTCTGTCTTTCATATCAATCAGTAGCGCGGGGTGAATTGCGATATACCGATTGTTATGCCATTTAAACCTGTGGTAAATAATCGACTATCAAGGTGTTCGCTGCGAACACCCTGTTTATCGACCCTTTTCCATAGGTTTAAATGGCATAACAATCGATTTATCGCAAAGCACGCCACGCCACTGACATCAACCATCCTGATGAAGTTCACAAGAAAAGTGGAATCAAATATGCAAAGGACTCGCATCTCCTTGATTGATCTCATTGAAATGTGTGGTGCGCCATCTTCTGCCGTGCTAAGGAAGAACGCCGTATGAACATTCGAGAGTTGCCAAATTTCCCTTGATAAAACATGCATTCTTAACAATGTCGATGCAGATTTTTCCTTGATATTTTCAAATATTTAAGATTGAATTGCGCACAAAATTGTCTGAAATTTTTGGAAAATAATATGCGCAATTTTCCCAGTAAATTCGGTTTTTATCGGAGGAAACTTGGCAACGTCTGAAGGCTCACACGGCGTTCTTCCTTAGCATGGCAGTACTCTCATCTGTGCGTATGTCCTTAATGGATTGCTTGTCATGATGAGGCTGAAAGCACTTAAAGGTTTCGCACATTGTAATGTGGTTTCATAAAAACATGGAGGATGTACAAGGTGATTCGAAAAGAAGTGCGACGATTTTTAAACGGGAGCTGTACGCTAGAATGAATTTTACACTGCATGCAGTGTATGGTCTGCGCAAGTGTACCTAGGGCGAGGCTTGACCGGTTCCGAGTCGGGGTAGCCAGAGCCTTAGACCCAGGGACCTCACCAGAGCGAGGCCCTGAGAGCAACGGGCACTCTCTGGAGGACAGGCCATAGAATAATAGCTACCAGAAGGGCAGCATTCGACCATCTTTGCTCCAATGGACCACTAGACAAGGTACAAATTTAAGCATTCTGATACATGTTTCTTAACCAGAATTTCACGTAGAGCACGATTCGCGCAACGAAAACAAATGAAACAAACTCCAAACGAAGATATTAACGTTTTTATTTCACATTGGTTACGAGGAATTTGAACTGCCCGCTGCCAAGAAACTCAAAGCTCTACGTGAGTCAAATCGCGCATTTCAACGGTTTCAACAAGCTTCTCAATCGAGTAATGTTCATTTCCCACCATGTGTTGTTCAAACTATGAGCAATTTGCTACAACTGAGCCAAAGCGTCAAGATTGAGGTTGCCAGATTTTTATATCGGAGAGACTGTCATGATAACGTTTAGCACACGATGTGAATCGCGCAGAGCATTGAGTTTTCATGAGCGGGTGGTTTGAATTCACGCATCAAGAATCATTAATATCTTTGGAAGGAGTTGATGCGGTAATTTTCGTTGTGCACGTCGTATTCTGCGTGAAATATTAGTTGACAACCATGTATCAGAATGCTGAAATTAGTACCTTGTCCAGTGGTCCATTCTTGAAATCCCAGCGACCCCCGCTCAGCCTACCGTTTCAAATTTCGCGGGGAATTAGAGCAAGGTCCAGCCGGCCGGCCGCTCTCACCCTACGTCTCTCTGCAGTTTCAAATTTCGGGGGGAAATAGAGTAAAGTCCGCTTCGAAAAAGTGACTATACGCGATCTTACGGGAAGATCTGCCAGTTTTTCAGGTAACTATTATTCTATGGACAGGCGATCGATCTGGCCGTGGGACGCTTCTCATCCCTGTGGCTCCAGACTTTCATCGGCATTCTTGAAGAGACTGGCGATCGAGGGGCACTTGGCCGTTCATCATCCCTTCGACCCTGAATCCAGCGTGTGTATGATCTTGTGCTAGTGTTTGCCTGTGTTTGTCAAATAGACATCTCGTCTCATCTGTAAGATTGGTCTCTTCTTCTCCTCCTCATCTGGTCCATACCCGTTTGTGTCAGTACTGCATTTGTGACGCTTTTGTGTCAGCACTGCAGTTGCGACGCGTGTCAGCATTGCACTTGCGACGCCGCTCTACCCCCCCCCCCCCCCCCCCCCNTACGCCATCTCACATTCTAAAGGCCCCTTGGGAAGCTTAGTGAATGAGATGCTTTTAGACCCTGCGTGAATTGTGCAGAACTTAGTGGGCTGATAGGTCTGGTCAATCTGGGGTAAGGTAATTCATTCTACTCAGAGGCCCCTGGGAGACGATGTTACTTTTTTTCAAAGTTGAAACCTCCGAAAATTCATACATTCGAACAATAACAGTAATTGCGTTGCAATTTGTGCAAAAATCTTTTTAAAAAAATAGACTTATCAACAGAATTACTAAAAATGACGGTCGTTTCACCATTCATGTCAATTGCACAAAAGTTAACTCGAAGTGGGTGAGTGACTTTTATCGAGTTTTCCTTTTAGGTGATCCGACGGTTGCCATTTTTTGTGTCAGAGCGACGTGGGATATAACGCATCGATTCGTTCCATAATTTCAGCTACATGCCATTTTTTTCGAATTTTTAGATCGCATTTCTGTTGTTATGAGACAAAAGAATTCATGTACCACATTTGACAAAGAAATTCAACGTAATAAAGGCAGGATTTTTTTAGCGGAACAATATCGCACTCGAGTGCGGTTTCGATATCAGCATCGAATGCAAAATTTTTCCTCAATATATTTTAATCTACCAGAGAATATATTTGACCACCATCCTAAATTTTTGACTAGATGTATGTTTGAAGTATTTTAAGGAAGGGACATCGTACTTTTTTGAACACCCTGTGTGGGATAGGTAAATGATCAAGAGATAAGTTTTTTTGGTCATCAGTGTAGCTCTGAAGAGCTCTTCAAGTCGAGAACTGAATGAAAGTGGAATATTTTTTACGTCATACGCACTGGAATTCCTGATGAAATGTCAAGTCTTCACGGTGATCAACCACCGTGAGTGACGCAATGCGTCGTTTTGTGAATGCAGATGAGATGAATTCACTTTAGTTTGAGCTTCACATGCATTGAGTCATATGGACGCAAGGGTTTGGAGTAACAAATTGTTGGGAAATTGAGTTCACAGAGGGAGAAATCTAGGAAATCTAGAATGTGCTCATCAACTAAAAAAATATTCCATCAGCGTTTCAGTGCGTGCACGCAATGCTATTAAAGTTTTACGTTGACTTTTTGAAAGCATATATTTCTGGCAGTCATATTTTTATTATTTCCTGCAATGCATTTGCAAACTATTGTTCAGGCGATTTTAGTAAGTTTCCAAAACCCGTATTGCAGGAATCTTGGTTCATTTCCGCAGAAAGGCGATTTCCGCAGCTTTCTGCTTTTCGATTCAGACTGCCTTTTTCGTGAAAATAAATGAAAAACGAGTCCGAGTGCCCATAAGAGTGCTACGAATACCTCTTCAAAATAAACGGCGAGAAAATAATCAGGTCTCAAAATAATCAGGTCGAGGCTCTGGGATTCCATCTAAAATGGGAAAGTCGAAGCATGCACTATGAATGATGTTTATTGATTTAAAAAATATTGAACGTGGCAATAAATTAAACAGAAATCTTGAATTAGAATGAAATAAGCCCATTTACCGTACAAAAAAGTCAAGGAAAAGTTTCAACTTTCTTTCATTTTTTTGATTGCGGTGCTGAAAATTGTCCATACGGCAATTTGGATTGATCAGTCCTAATTTCCGTATGGGCTGATCACACGCGTTTAATGTGAGTGGCTTTTTTTAGCCTTTATTTAATTTTTTATTTTGTGTTTTAAGCGGTTGATAAAGGCTCGGGTAACCAGCCGAAACGTCCTGCATATTGTTTATTGATTTTAGCCTTATTTCCCACTGAATTTTTGTGTTTTTATCGTATACATTTCGGGCTACCATTCTTAACCTCTCTTCCTCTGTATCTATATCTCTCTATATTTACAATTTATTACATAGAATTTAGGTAAGAAGCACATGTATTAACATCCTCTTGCACATTGTTTTTTATTCAAGCATGCACTGGTAAAAAAAAACCTCTTGGTTCAAGAGTGCAGTTTCTTGTCACCGGATTTAAGAATCTGGACTCTTGTTTTAATGCAAAATCCGCTTGAAACAAGAGTTCAAGACTCTTAAATTCGGCGACAAGAAACTGCACTCTTAAGTCAATGCAATGCGGCATTGGTCCAAGAGGTTTTTTTTACCAGTGGGCCTGCTGAGTCGCAATTGACCACTAGACAAGGTACGAATTTAAGCATTCTGATACATATTTCTTGATCAGAATTTAACGTAGAATACGATTCGCGCAACGAAAATTACCGAAATCAACTCCTAACAAAGATAATAACGTTTTTATTTCACATTGGCTACGAGGAATTTGAACTGCCCGCTCACCAGAAACTCAAAGCTCTACGTGAGTCAAATCGTGCACTACAACGGTTTCAGCAAGCTTCTCAATTGAGCAATGTTCATTTCCTATTCTATGTTTTTCAAACTATAAACAACTTGCTATAGCTGAGCTAAAGTGTCAAGATTGAGGTTGCCAGATTTTTATATCACAGAGACTGTCATGATAACGTTTAGCGCGCGATGTGAATCACGTAGAGCATTGAGTTTTCATGAGCGGGTGGTTTGAATTCACGCATCAAGAATCATTAAATATCTTCGTAAGGAGTTGATTTCGGTAATTTTCGTTGTGCGCATCGTGTTTTACGTGAAATTTTGGTTAAGAGACATGTATCAGAATGCTGAAATTCGTACCTTATCTTGTGCTCCATTATTACATATTATATTTATAAAGTCAGCTAACAGCTCAACTTTTGTTTTCGGATTAAGAGTAGCCGAAAACCGAAAAATCTTGCTAAGATTCATCTCGTTCTTTTTTGAACGATGGCGTCGGAGACGACATTCTTGAGGAAAAGCTTGATCCAGAGAGCGACGAGGAACATGGCAAGAGCTTCCTCATGGA